AGGTTAGAAAACAGGCCACAGGAGAGTGTGACTTGTAAGTCAGCCTGTACAAGATGTCCTTGGCCCTCTCCTAGGACTGTGAACAGGACACCCTGTGGTACAAAGTGGCTATGATAAATGAAGCCTGTGGTCGGGCTGAAGGTGGAAAGGCATCAATGTGGAGTGAGTAACTGAGAGAGGTGCCCCAGAGAGGATCATAATAGGCAATCATATGGTGATCTACAGTTTTTATATGTAGATAGTGTGTAAGTTCTTAACCCTTTAAATTTTCTTTTTAATTTTTCCCCCCACTCTCACTCTAAGCCTAAGTGGCCTCACGTTCATATAATCCTTTTGACACAGCCTCCCAAATGCTGGGATTACAAGTATGAGCTACTGTGCCTGGCTTCTTAGCTTTTTAAGATTTGAAAACACTACAACCTTCTAATTAGTTATATATTCATTAATAAAATAGTAGTAGCTGGGTCTGGAGAGGTGGCTCAGGGATAAAAAACACTGGCTGCTTTTCCAGAGGGAGCCAGGTTCTATTCCCAGGAGCCACATGATAGCGCACAACCATCTGTAACTCTAGTTCTATGGAGCTGATGACCTTTTCTGGCTTCTGCAGGCACCAGGCAGGCACGTATACACAGACATACATGCATACACGTAAAACGATATTTTAAAATTGATAGTAATAACATCTTGAAATTTTATATTTTTGTATGTATATGGTGTACATGTGTGTAATATGCATGCTTGCATGTATGTGGGTGCTTGTGTGCAGGCACACGTGGCATGCCAGATGTCTTCCCGCATTGCTCTCCAATGCGCTCCAACCTTGTATGTTGAGGCAAGGTCTTTCACTTGAACCCAGAGCTTACTCATTTGGCTAGTGTAGCTAGCTGACTTGCTCCAAGGATCCTGTCTCTGCTTCCCTAGAGCTGGGATTACAGGCAGGCCACCGTGCCTGCCTTGCATTTCTGTGAGTACTGGGAATCTAAAGTCTAGTTCATATGCTGTGGCAAGTGCATTATCCACCGAGCCTCATCTCTAAAAATCTCAATCTTTTATGTATGTATGTATATTTTATGTATGTATATATATGAATTATTTATTTATTTATTTGGTTTTTCAAGACAGGGTTTCTCTGTGTAGCCCCAGCTGTCCTGGAACTTGCTCTGTAGATCCTCCTGCCTCTACCATCTGATTGCTGGGATTAACAGTGTGTACCACCCCCACTCTCTTCCCCCAGCTAAAATCTCTATCTTTTAAATGAAAACTTTTGGGACTATAGAGATGACTCAGTGGTTAAGAACACTATTGCAGAGGATCAGAGTTCAGTTTCTGGAAGCCATGTCCAGAACCACCCATAACGACAGCTCCAGGGGATGAATGTCCTTTTCTGGACTCTCAACAGCACCTGCACTTGCATGTACATGTACCCCTCATACATATAATTAAAAATAAATCTTTAAAATAGTTTCTTCCCCTTCATATTAATAAATGAAAAACATAACCTTTATTCTTCAAAGAATGGAAGAAATTTGAATTATTTTAGATAGAAGTGTTTATTCATTCTTGGAACTTTAGAAATGTAGAATCTTTAAAACTGTGTATATTAGATACATAAATGCTATTTATGCATTCTTTTCTTCATTAATAACTATTCAAAGTATTTGTGATGATTTGCATCTCTTTAAGATTTACAGTTTGATTTTTCACTTTGCTTTTAGATCTTTTGCAGTTTTACAAGTTGAGGACTATTCTATAGTTTTGAGTTTTTATTTCTATAGATTCCAAGCAGTTGTAGTTTAAATGAAATAGTTAAAAAGAGGCTAGTGCTCAGATATCTCCTCTGAGATAATGCTTTTTGGCTTCTTTATGTTTCAGCTGGATACAGCTGCCCTTTCAGTAAGCTATTGTGCATATGGATGAAAAAACTGCAATCTACTTGTGCATACATATACACACTTGAGTCTTGTATGTTTATATAAGTACATAGGTAAAATCTCTTAAAGGGATGTGAATTAAGTTCTGGGTGCTTTGTTTATTTGAGGGATGGACTTTCTTGTATCCCATGTTTCTTGTATTCAAATCTAGTATATATATAAAGCTGAGGATATCCTTGACATTTTCTGATGCTCCTGCCTCCATCTCCCTGGTGCTGCAGGTGTGAATTACTATGTCTGGTAAACAGGAGCCTTCTGCACACTGGACTTAGCACTCAACTGAGCTACATTCCTAGCCTCATGAATTAAGTTCTTGATGCTACTTTTCTTCCTTGTTTTCTGTCTTTAAGATTAGAGAAATTAATTGGTAAAAACAGAATAGGCGGCCTGTTCTGCCGAGCTTTGCAGTCATACTTGCGTCCGAGAACAGTAGTAGACAGTTCTGTGTTTTAAAGATACAGGTGTAGACTCTTAAGCTGACCTTGCCATTAATTGATTGATCTTTGGGTTCGGTTTTATTTTGTTTTCAACAAAAAACTTGTGCCATTAACCCACCATAGGTTGTTTTTTTTTGTGTTGTTTTGTTTTCTTGAATTTGGTCACTGTTCTTATACTTTATCATTAAGGATTATGCAAAAGTTAGCTAAGGCTTTTTTTTTTTTTTTTTTTTTTTTACTTTAATGCTTTAACTCACCTACGTGTAAAATCAGTGCTGAACCAGTCCAGAAAAGGACATTCATCCCATGGAGCTGTAGTTATGGGTGGTTCTGGACATGGCTTCCAGAAACTGAACTCTGACCCTCTATAGCCCCAAAAGTTTTCATTTAAAAGATAGAGATTTTACCTGGGGGAGAGGGTGGGGGTGGTACACACTGTTAATCCCAACAATCAGATGGTAGAGGCAGGAGAATCTACAGAACAAGTTTTTACTTTAATGCCTTAACTCACCTACATGTAAAATCAGTGCTGATCCAGGTAGTCTTCGTTTCCTTCTGTGTCCTAGAATGTATTGAATGTACTATTGGGGTGTGTGTGTGTGTGTGTGTCTGTGTGTGTGTGGTGTGTATGTCTATGTGTGGTGTGTTGCTGGATGGTTGGCATGGGGGTGTGTGTGTGTGTGTGTGTGTGTCTGTGTGTGTCTGTGTGTTTGGTGTGTGTGTGGTGTGTATGTCTATGTGTGGTGTGTTGCAGGATGGTTGGCGTGTGTGTGTGTGTGTGTGTGTGTGTGTGTGTGTGTGTGTGT